GGAGGCTGGTGGAGGCTGCGATCCGCTGCGCTGTGCCGGTCGATGAGCCCGGGCCACGCGGCCTGGCCCTGGCCCTGGCCCTCGCCCACGCACACGCGCAGCCCCTGGACGAAATGCATTGGGCGGAGCAACAACGGAGCGAATATTTATCATCAATCGTCCGTACAAGATTGTAATGTAAGTCCTGGCTTGCCATAAAATGTTTTTATTTGTACTTATTGATCTTTACTCCGCAACTCGCTGCATGAAACGACGCTACTTTTATTCGAGATATAATGATTTAGGTTAGAAAGCGGATGTGTCCATAATTAGTGAAGGTGATGATTGTGATAAATTCATGATGTTTATTAATTAGATAGCTGGTGAGGTAGATACCTTCCAATAATTAAATGTGGTAAATTGAAAGTGTTATCTAGAATCAAAAATTTTATTTGCTAATGATCGTTCGCGGAGCGATCCACAGAAATTGCAGCTTCAAAACAAAGTTAAAAGAACTTTGTTTTCGGTCGGGAAGCAGCAAGTTCTGAAGATGATCGCTACGCGATCGAAACGGTCATTAGCCAAATAAATTCATGAAGTTACATAAAAGTGATGATTCCCTGAAGAGTTGCCCCTGAAGAGATTCCCTGAAGAGTGAGAGGCTGAGTGTAGGAAACCCATCGTATCATGAAAAATCACGTTTGCAATGTGATGTAGATTTTTTCCCTCAGTTTCAGACCTTAGTTTCATGGCAATTCGTCCGTTTTATATACGAGTACAAATTTAATTAACGACGACGGCATCATCCTAAGTATTTTTTCCTTTCGGAGGTTCGACATTACATTGTTTTCTAATTCTTATATTTTTATTATCAGAATTAGTACTCCCGCCGGTTTCGTTCTAATTAACGAAAACTAATAAAACATTCTGCAACAGGTGTCTGACAATTTTTATCAGACATTTAAAGCCTGTTGGAAATTATATTTACTTCTCATTCAGACTTCTCAGAAAGATATTTGGCTTCGAACCGGACACCCGACCCGTCCGTACTGCAATTGCACACTGGTTTTGCAATCCGACATTGTTGAATATAAGACATTGACAGTTCGCAGATGATTACTGCTGATACGGCTCAAGAAATGTATTATTTTATTGAAAAAAAGTCATGGATATTGTAGCTTCAAATTCTTCATTAATAAAATTGATGTGACTGTCTGTGAATTATCCATTTCTATCATTTTTAAGCGCCTAAGGATATTTTCGTGTAAAAATTCATATAATTGTTTTTAGAATTTTTGTCTGTGTGACCAGCTTGTCTTGAGAATAGTTAGACCGATTTTTATAGATAAGAACTGAAGATTGCAAGGACGGGTAGAACACATTTTGTTGGGTGAAGTTAAGGCACTTATACTTAGGTACTTTTTTAAGTCATTATATTATCTTATATAAAAAGAAATATTTATTACCTATCCCCGCTTTTTTTAAAAAAATTGAAATAAATTTCTATTTTTGACTTACAAAACAAGAGAAAACTACTGGTTTTCATTAAAACTACTCCGCCTCCTTTCCCACTTCTGAAAACAGGATTTAAGTAGGCAGACTTTCTGTTTTTTGAGAATTTATAGAAAGCTGCCTGGAATGAAGCCATAATGAATGTATCTGAAAACCATCATATTTCATACTAAATGCATTTTGATACTCTTCGATAGCGCAATTTGGTTCCGGACAATCGAAAGTAAAAACGTAAAATTAGATCGGTTGGATAAAAGTAAGGCGGGGACAAGTGGAATAGCGCAGACAGATGGAACAGTGGGACGGGGCAGGGCGGGCGGTACTGAGTGGGGTTTATTTGTTATCTGCATTATCATTTTTCTTGAAATTTTGAATTGTCTCAAGCGATCTTTCGTACTGGTTTTTACAACTGGGACTTGGAATGAGATGTACACGTAGGCTTCCGCGGCTCGAGTTTATTACTTCTAGGCTGTCCGGGTGACGCCGCGTCGTTGGCAGATAGGCCGACATTTCGCTTGTCATGTCGCAGGCTTTACTGTGCCACTGCCTGAAGAAGCCTGCGTCATGACAGGCGAAACGTCGGCCTATCTGCCAACGACGCGGCGTCACCCGGACAGCCTAGAAGTAACATGAAATGAGAGTCAATTAGATCTATATCTCAGGAAATGCACCAATAACAATCGTAGGCGCAAATGCTCCGCCGGAGAGCCGTAGTTATTGCTGCCTGAAGGAAGCCATCGCGATGACCTCGCAGGCGCCGTCGATTCGGGCTGAGGCGTCTGGACGTTCTTGTGGCCGCAGCCGCCCCTGGATCGGGTGCGTTCCTCGTCGATTCATTTCTCATCCTGTCAACACATCCATTAACGTAAATGTAGCAGACATAGAAGCACATGGGCGGACACCCCGAAAGTGGAAAAATGATAGTACGCGGGGAAAAACGAAATTCCGCTTAAAAAGAAAGTAAAGTGAAGAAAGGACAAGAAGAAAAATAAGTGCACGAGAAGAATGTGAGAGAAAGATCTGTGACGATATTTACAAAAATGTCTTCCTTGTAATTCTCCCAATAAAAACTCCCCTTAATATCTATCTACAAACTGCATTTTTACGAAAAGACGTGCGCAATATTTTCCATTTCACACCAGTAACACTTTCCCAAGTTATAGGAAATGAGTTATGATTTACACAGTGACGTGGTCGTAATTCTATTGAGATAAAGTAGAAGGTGAATGTCGACAAAAAGCAATAAATGACATTAGTTTGGATGAAAACTGGACGTATATTCTAAAATGGATTTGCGAATTTGTTGTGTGTAAATTATTTTAAAAAATTGAGAAGCTTTATAGTTTTTTAGAAATTAAACAATTTATGAGTAGTTGTATGAATTTCATTTAGTTATACAACTCCGAAAACATTTAAATTAGTCCTCTCAAACTTCAAATGCTGGAAGTTTAAACATACCATTGAGCAAACTTTTAGCAATAGAGAAAGATCTTCTTAGACGACCATCCACTTTGATAGATTAAAATCCTGCGAAAGCGTCGAGGTTAATTTTTGCCTTAACTCACCTTTTCCCAGCAGAAAAAAACTGCACATAACGGCGAAATGCAGAGAGGGGGGGAAAGAAGCAAGGGGGGGGCAGCAAG